ATAGGCATTTCAACATCCCCAACGGTTATTTTCTGGTCCGGGAAGAAAGTCCCTTCCTCCAGCTTTCGAAACAGAGCAGAGTTCCTGAAGACGCGAGCATCATGTACCTTTTCCGCCCATCCCACGTTGATGTTGGTGAAACGTCCCTTGTGATCCACCAGGGCTTGCAGCAGCATTGAAAAGTACCCCTTGCGGTTTATGTACTCGGTGGCTTGGTGCTCCGGTGCCAAGATAGGGATATGGGCCCCACCACAGTTAGGGAATCCCATTGCAGCAAAGCCATCCGCTATGGCCTGCACGTTTCCCAGAGTCACTACCCTTGATATCACCAGGTCTTTCATTGCCCTGGCAACTTGGATCACAGCAGCCCCCACATTACATTTGCCCACTCCAAATTGATTCCCGACTGACCGGTAGCTGTCTGGCGTTGCAAGCTTCCACAGGGCTATCGCCACTCGCTTCTCAACTGTGAGAGCTGCTCTCATCCTGGTATACTGGCTCTTCAGGGCAGGGGAAAGCAAGTCACAAAGTTCCATGAAAGTGCCCTTACACATGCGAAAGTTTCGCAGCCACAGGGAATCGTCCCACACCTGCAGCACGATGCGGTCCCACCAGTCTGTGCTTGTTTCCCGGGCCCAGAATCGGCGTTCCACGGCATGAACCTGCCCCAGTAACACCATGATTTCCACATTGCTGGGGCCTGAGCCTTGTGAGAGGTCTATGTCCATGTCAATTTCCTCATCACTCTCGTCGCCGCGCTGCAATCACCTCCTCCTTGGCTGGTCCTGGTTTTGCTTTGGCATGTTCTGGCTCTGCATATACTCCAGGACAATGCGTGTGGTGTTCATAGTGCTCATAATTGCCGCGGTGATCTGAGCGGGCTCCATGATCCCATTGCTAGCTATGGCGTCTGGTCTGAAAAAAGGCGCAAAACTAGTATCTGACGGACCAGGGGAAGGAGAGAGGGAGGGAGGGAGGGAGGGGCGAGTGACGACATGGCGTACAGGTACAGGGAATTAAAATCAACAAAGGTGGCTGTGCATCAGGGAGAAACACAAACAACTGTCACACAGAATGGCCCCCCCCAAAGATTGAACTCAAAAGCCTGGGTTTAGCAGGCCGTTGATTTGACGGAGGGAGGGGGAAGCAAATGAATACAGAACAAATCTATTTTTTACATCTTAAGACAACGGTGCAGCATGACTGATAGCCCTCGACATCTTCTGGGTGCTTGGCAGCAAATACTGGGTGCCACATTTTTCCTGTATTATGACGATGGCCTTCAGGCCGATTGCACGATCTGCTGCTCAGGGAAGACTCTGCTAATGTGCGATGGGCGCTTGGCAGAAAATGGCATACTACGACTGATAGCCATCATCATCGTCATTGTGAAGGCAGCAGAATATGACTGGGGGGATGGGGGACTGGGGGACATACGGAGTTCCAGCCACTGCTGTACGACGACGACGGTTACCAGTCGTAATATATCATCTACTGCCAAAAGGCAAGGGGCTGGTGCAATGCAGCCCCACGGCTGCCAGCACCCAGATCGCTGATGAAGGCTACCAGTCATGCTGCACCGTCTACCGCCAAAAGGCAGTTAGCTGCTGCTGCTGTGTAGCAATGCAGTCCCACGTCTGCCGGCACCCAGATGACATATGGTGACAGTGAACTGAGCTGAGCGGGCTCCATGCTTGCCGTGGTATGTTGTCTGCACAGGTAACCCAGGTAAAAAGGCGCGAATCTATTGTCTGCTGTTGCTGTGACGGAGTGGGAGGGGCCTGATGACATGTACCCAGAACCCCCCGCGACACTGTTTTGCATCATTCGGGCATTGGGATCTCAACCCAGAATTCCAATGGGCGGCGGAGACTGCGGGAACTGTGGGATAGCTACCCATAGTGCAATGCTCCGGAAGTCGATGCTAGCCTCGGTACTGTGGACGCGGTCCGCCGACTTAATGCACTTAGAGCATTTTATGTGGGGACACACACAATCGGCTGTATACAACCGATTTCTATAAAACCGGCTTCTATAAATTCAACCTAATTTCGTAGTGTAGACATACCCTCAGCTTCTGGCAAACAGAACTTGTAATCTCTTTATAAAATAAAAAAGTATGAAGTTAGTTTGACAGGATCTAGTTTCCATAAACCTTCATTGATTGGCATTACAGATATTACCTATGTCAGCTGCTCCATTATCTTGCCTGGGAGCAGCCTCAGGCGGACAGGTCTATAATTACCCGACTTGTGGTTTTTGTACGGTTTGTCGCACCTTCACTCAGACTCATACACATCACAATCTTCTAGTCTGATATCCTGCATGTTGCAGACTTCAGAACTGCACCCACTCATTCTCCGCCGTTCACTTAGCTTCAACCTGCAACTGACGCCTGCTCCATGCTGCAGAGGAAGGCAACCCCCCCCACCCCTTGGTCTCTATCAATCTTCCTGAACCCAAATCTGGTGATCAGTTAGACTCTGAGCGTGTGGGCAAGACCCACCAGGCGGACACCTGGGAAAGAATACTGTGTAGTAACGCAGAGCCCTCCCCATCTAGTGTCCCATCTCCAGCCATTGGAGATATTTGCTGCTAGTCAACCTGTGATCAAGTAATACACCCAGACCTTTCTCCTCCTCTGTCATTTCCAACTGATATGTCCCCAGCTTATAGCAAAAATTCTTGTTGTTAGTCTCTAAATGCATGACTTTGCACTATTAAATCTCATCCCATTTCTATGACTCCACTTTACAAAGTCACCCAGATCTTCTTGTATGATATTCTTGTCCTCCTCCATACTGGCAATACCTCCGAACCTGACACTTCAGCCTGATTCCTCCAGCCTGACACTTCACCTTTCAGTATGACCCATTGTACAATCACAGAATCATAGAAGATTAGGGTTGGAAGAGACCTCAGGAGGTCATCTAGTCCAACCCCCTGCTCAAAGCAGGACCAACCTGTCACAGAGTCCCGGGGTGATGCTCTGGAACTACTCCATATGAAGCCAGTCAGGACTCTGTGGGAGCCTCCTCTCTCTGAGCAGACTGTCTCCAGGGCAAGAAGCTTACACAGCTTCCACCTTCCTGGGTCTGATGTCGGAGCGTTCAGCATCCCCTTCCACACCATGCACTTCCCGCAGTTGGGTCCCGCCAGAACCAGCATCGTTACACCCAGTAAAAGAAAAAAGGTTCTTCCAATCCCAAAGGACCCAGACCCAGGTCAATATACAAGTCAGATCTTACCCACAAATCACACTGTTGTCAGTCCTTTAGAATCTAAAATCTAATGGTTTATTCATAAAAGGAAAAAGATATAGATGAGAGCTAGAATTGGTTAAATGGAATCAATTACATACAGTAATGGCAAAGTTCTTGGTTCAGGCTTGTAGCAGTGATGGAATAAGCTGCAGGTTCAAATCAAGTCTCTGGAGTCCATCCACAGCTGGGATGGGTCATTCAGTCCTTTTTTCAGAGCTTCAGTTTGTAGCAAAGTTCCTCCAGAGGCAAGAATCAAGATTGAAGACAAGATGGAGGAGATGCAACAGCCTTTCATAGTCTCTGCCCATGGAAGGACACCTTTTGTTTTTCTGTGAAAAATCACAGCAGGAAGATGGAGTCTGGAGTCACCTGTCCAAGCATGGTGGGCAAGTCACATGTCCAAGCATGACTCAGTTTGCAGGCCGACGCCATTGTTTACCTGTTAGTTTGAATGTTCCGAGGAAAGCTCAGATGTGGATTGGCGTCTCCCAAAGTCCATTGTCAGTTAAATGATTTTTGATTGGGCACTTCCTGAGAATAGTCCTTTCTCAAGAAGCTGATCAAATGCTTCACTGAGGCTACTTAGAATCAAAACACATTGAGATACAAGTACATAGCCAATATTCATAACTTCAACTACAAAAAGGATACACACATACAGACAGCATAATCACACCCAGCAAACCATAACCTTTCCATAGACACCTTACACAACAACCTTTGTACAATATTTGCTGCAAATATATAACAGTGGTTGCAACAATGATCTATATGGTCACAGGTTGTCAGAAACATTACATCCCAATAGACAGAATCAGCCATTCAGAGTGCAACCAGGCTGTGGTTTATTGCTCCCAGGACCGGATTGCAGGGATAGCATAGCCAGTGGCCGCAGGGGGCCCATCCCTGGGGCTCGCCCATCAGGCTCAGATGGATGTGCTGTTCTCGATTTGGTGGGGATCCAGGTAGCGGTAGGGGATGGGAAGGGATTTGTTCCTCTCTTGGATCTCCATGGAGATCTGGGCCAGGCACCCCTGGAAGGCTGCGATCAGCTGCTTGGGCACCTCCTCCTTGAAGTGCTCGTCGGGGTATGTGCCCAGGGATCTCTGCAAGGGAACAGGAGAGCGGTGAGGGACAGCGCGGAAGGGCTCCCTCGCCCGGTGCTGAGATGCAGCCACCCTGGGGCAGGGCAGCTGTTTACACATGGATCCCTCACATGCCCTGGAGCATGGAGCAGGTGTTTAACAGCTGTGTAGCAACACCGGGAAGAGTTCAGGCCCGGGAGGTTAAACAACATGGTGGAATTTATGGGTGTTTGAACGGAATCCCCCAAAGTGCAGCTGGGTTGGGACACCTGGGTTCATACCCAGGCTCATGTGAGACATCAGCGGGTCCTTTATTATTACCACAAAGGGGGGAAGAACACAACTGAACAGCTCATTAAAGAGACACCCCCAGCCGCAGCCCAATGCCTCCTAGCGCAACCCTGGGGCCAGCCCTGCCTGCCAGGGGAGAGCACCCCCTGCTGAGCCCCTGCCCTGCTCCCTGCCCCACAGTGCCCCCTAGCACTGCCCTGGGGCCAACCCTGCCAGCCAGGGGAGAGTGCCCCTTGCTGCCCCCACCCCTGTCCCTGCCCCACAGCGTCCCCTAGCTCCCATGTCCTCACCGAGTCCCCCAGCTCGCAGCAGAGGACCCAAAGGGTGAAGATGATGTGGCTGGTGCTGTTGACCTCTGGGATGGTGTCCAGGTAGCTTTCCAGGGAGGTGGTGCCCTTGGCCTGGGGTGGGGGGTTCCTCATGGAGGCTGGGAAGTTGGGCATCCAAGCTCCAAGCTCATACTGTGGCCCAGAGAGACCCACACAGTCAGAGCAGCCAGGGACCCCCCCCATCCCAGATAGGCACCCCCCAGCCCAGATGGGGTCTGGCCTCCCCCAGCTGGGGATCCCCCCGGCCCAGCCAGGGATCCCCTCCTCACCCACCCAGGGGGCACCAGCATAGGGAAGGTCTGGCTTAGCCAAGAGACCTGGGCACCTGGGGCTTGGTCAGAGTCTCACCCACGGGCAACAGTTAAGAAAGTCAAGGTGGGGGTCGGGGTGCTGAGCGCAGCAGTAGGGGTGGGTCTTAGGGGGCTGGCGCAGGGTCCTGATGTGTCTGGGGTCTCACTGGGGTTGGGTGCTGGGTGTAGGATTGGCGGCTAGAGCAGGGTCCTGGGGATTGAAGTGTCAGTGGGGTGGGGTGCAGGGTGTGAGTGTTGGTGGCTGGACCCCAGGGCCCCATGTGGGGGGCAGGGTGGGGATGTCGGTGGCGGGACCCCATGGCCCCATGTGGGGGGCAGGTTGGGGATGTCAGTGGTGGGATCCCATGGCCCCATGTCAGGTGCAGGGATGTCTGTGGCTGGACCCCAGGGCCCCGTGTGGAGGGTGCGGGGTGGGGGTGTCAGTAGCTGGACCCCAGGGCCCCATGGGGGGCAGGGAATGGGGCCCCGAGCACCAAGGCTGGCCTCTCCCTACCTGCCTGTTATTGAGGGCGGCATGCCTGGCTGAGCAGCAGTAGATCCACATGGTCAGGTACTTGATGAGCTCAGGGATGCTTTGCAGGGATGAGGGGAAACCTGCGGGATGGACAATGGACATCACTGACCCAACCCGGCTCTGGCCCCCTCCATGGCCTTGGGGCTGGGATCGCTAGAGCCGGGTTTGATGCCTCACTCTGCTGGATCCTCCCCCGGGGAGTCACTCCCCTGCTGTGGGCCTCAGCTCCCCACTCTGCCTGTTCCCACGGCGGAGATGTTCCCAGTCACCCCGCAGCCCCGTCCCACCACCATGACCCAGGCCACCCTGTCCCTGCGGGGTCGGAGACCTTGCTCCCCATCTGGGGGTCGTGACCCCTGCCTGCAGGGCCACTTGATATGAGCTGGGGTCTGCCCTGATTGACTCCAATAGAGAGGCGCCCATTGACATCAGCCAGGATCTGGCTGACAGTCATTCAGCCTCCTGAGACATGCACTCCGGAGACGCCCCCCAGCCACCCCCGCATGGAGCCCAGTGACTAGCGGCTGCAGAGCTCTGGGTTCACATGGCCCCTACCAGACGTCTCATTCCCCAGGAAGCCTTCATGGAAGATCTCATCTGCCCAGGCCTGCAGCTCGCAGTCGGCCAGGACGTGGGCGTCGCTGTGATAATAGTGTCTGACGATGCCAGAGATGAAGCTGGAAAGAGCAGAGATGTGTCATCTTGGTGGGTCAATGCAGGCCTCATCACTCCCCAGTGTCAGTCAGCCAGTGACCGCAAACAGTCCAGTGGTACCACGCACCCTTGCCTGTAATGGAGATATCCTATCTCCTAGAACTGGAAGGGACCTTGAAAGGTCATCGAGTCCAGCCCCCTGCCTTCACTAGCAGGACCAAGTACTGATTTTGCCCCAGATCTCTAAGTGGCCCCCTCAAGGATTGAACTCACAACCCTGGGTGATCCTGGATCTTGTCTATAGCAGAGTTTAACTTTTCATTTCAAATAGGACTTCCTCTTGTTGAAGTTAACATGTTAAACAAGAGTTGCCATTGACACAAAATGTCTTGGCTTGACTGAAACCAAGTGTTTCCATTCACCCCCAATGAGACCTTTTCCTGGAATTTGGTTTTGGGCAAAATTCCCAAAAGTTTGACTTTTCCTCTCCATTTTTCTGTATTTACAAGTTTTCATTCATTTTTCCAAAGCCAACCAATCAACCACACAAAGTAAGTAACGGGGGTTAGGATAAAGGCAGGGGAGGGGATGTGACATATCTATCTTCAGGGTCTACATTGATCATAGACCTCCCAAATTGCTTTGAATTTTTTGGGCATTCCCTTTCTCCGCAATGCCAGCCATTCGTTAGCTGCGTGATCAGCCAGATCACCAAGCCAGACATCAATATTTGATGGGGGTTGACTTTTCCATTGTGGTAGGGTTAATTTTTTAGGGCCCAAAGCTGCCCATTGGCACCATGCCGCCTTGTTACCAGGTATCAGGAATAGAATCTGTGATACACTGTACCTCAAAATAGCTCCCTGTAAAACCCATATGCATCATTCATATATAGTTGTGATATTTCATACAAAGCATGCCATGTACGATATCATATGAAAGGTCATGATCTGCTGAAACCCCTTGTTCTTTCCAAATATGGGTATCATTAGTGTGTATGAAGTTATGAGATTTTGCTGTGGTGGTTGTTACTAAAGTATGCTGTAAATTTCCTAGTGACATTCAGAGAGCTTCCCCCCTCCCCACCCAGGAGAGTGTTCAAGGACCATTAATAATCAAGTTGTAATCAAGGGATTTACAATTCAATGAGGGCTGCCCAAGCACCACACAATGGGGACTGCTCCCCTCTCTGACTCAACCCACCAGACCCACCAGAGGGATTGCTCAACCCAGTGACTCAGCAAAGCCCACTAGATTCAGACAGTGCAATAAGATTTAGACTGTGCGCTTACCTTTTATTTTCTTTGGTAACTATCTCTAACCTCCTATACCTACCATGTATAATCACTAAAAAAATCTATCTATCTGTAGTTAATAAACCAGTTTTATATTTTACCTAAAACAATTTGGTTTGGTTGAAGTGCTCAGGAAATCTCAGCTCAGGTACAAAGACTGGTGCATGTGCTCTCCACATTGAGGGAGGAGCGGACTTGGTAATAATCTGAAACTGAACAGGCTTCTGACCAGGGCAAGATGGTATAGTTCTGGTGTGCAAGGCTGGAGAGAATTGGCTGGTGCCCTTCTCTGTGTGATTCATGAGTGGCTCAAGGAGCATTCATGCAATCTAGCTGGGTGTGTGGGGGCCGGTGTCTTTGAAAAAGTGCCTTTTGGGGAATTACAGTTTTTTTTAAACTCAGAATTCTTTATGTGGCAGGAAAGCCGTGTTTCCAAGCATCTCTGAGCCGGTGGGAATTTTCCACATGCCATCTGCTTCCTCGCCACCCTCTGCCCCGGCTCCTGCTCCTTACCTCTCAATGGCCGACCAGATCTTCAGCCCATCATCCCTGTAGTAGTAATTGGGAATGCAGTCAACCCCGCGCTCTTGGATGTCATCAGGGAAGCAGAGGGAGGCATAGGTCAGGCAGGACATGCCCTTGGCCATCAGCAACTTGGCCCCCTCAAGCCCCAAGCCCACGCCCTGGGAAGGGACCAGAGACAGAGCCTTCAACCTCCAAGCCTGGGGGCAGGTTAGAATGAAATACCGCTGCGATCTAATTAATTGCAACCCGACGACAGACAATACGCCCTGTGAAAAATGTACCTCCCCAATATTTCACTTTGTGTTGTACCCCAAAAATGACCGATCACTCGCAACCCCCGGTGTTTGTCCAACCAGTTCTTAGAAACCTCCAATGTTGGAGATTCCAAAATCTCTATGCTTCCTCCAGAGTTAACTATCTTTAGAGAGAGAAAGCTTTTCCTAATATCTAACCTAAATCTCCCTTGTTGCAGATTAAGCCCATTATTTCTTGTCCTGCCTTCAGCAAGACCAGACAACAATTGATCACCATCCTCTTTGTAACAGTCCTCAACATATTTGAAGACTATCGGGTCCCCCATCTTGGTCTTCTTTTCTCAGGACTAAATCTGCCCAGTTTTTTTTTAACCTAGCCTCATAGATGAGGGGTTCTAAACCTTTTATCATGTTTGTTGCTATTTTCCGGACTCTCTCCAATTTGGTCACACCGACAAGCTGAAAGCAGAGGCTGCGTCCGCAGAGCCGTACGGTGCAAACACCAGGACTAACTGAGATGGAGGCTGGCCCGAAGGATCTGCTCTCCGGGAGGTTCCCAATGTGGGTTTCATGGTGAGACAATATGGGATGAGAGCTTCAAGGGTTCCAGGTGAGGCCGGTACCTCGGGTGACAGGCGCATTTTACTCCCATGTACGTGGCTCTGGGAGGGGAGGGGGGCTAGTGGTTAGAGCTGGGGGAGCAGGGAGTCAAGGCTTCTGGGTTCTGTCCCCAGCTATGGAAGGGGAGTGGGGGCCTAGTGGGTAGAGCAGGAGGAGCTGGGGGCCAGGACTCCTAGTTCTCTCCCCAGCTGTAGGAGGGGCGTGGGGTCCAATGCCCCTGACCGTGACGTTCTCTCACCCTTTCGATGATCCCTCCATGTCCGAGTAGCAGGGTCCTGCCCACGACGTTGATGTGCAACGTGTAGCGGGTGTGGGGCAGCAGCAGCTAGGGAGGAGAAGAGACACAGGGGAGGATGAGGGAAAGCAGGGAGCCACCTCCCACCCTCACCCCTGCATGTATCCGGGCGGGGCAAGGACCCGGACCCGGACCCTCCGAGAAGCCAGCGGCGGCTCCTTCTTCCCCGTCATCCATGAGGTTGGGAAGGTGCTGGACCGCGATGGGTAGAACACGGCGAGCATGGGGCTACACCCAGCCTAGCACGCCAGGCACACGCACCCCACCAGGCACACACAGGTGCGGCTGGGCACAGCTGTATGCCGGCAGCAGGGCCCGTCTGGCATGCTTCCCCTTCTCTCCTGCACATCTGGGCACAACTAGCTTGGGGGAGCAGCCCAGCCCCTCTCTCACCTTGAAGAGCGGGTGGCACATGGGCAGCTGGCGCAGGGTGGCCAGGGTGAAGGCTTCGTTGATCAGGTGGGTGAGCAGCAGGTGGCTGACAGCCTCATGCACCAGGAACTCAGCGTAGCGCACCCAGGTCTTGGCCAGGATCCAGTCCCACTCGGAGTCGCTGGGCAGGAAGATGGGGCTGGCGGGGCCTTGGCACTGGTTGAGCTGTGGGGGGAGGGGGAAGAGACACAGGAGGGCTGGGGGGATGGTTTGGCACAAACCAGGTGTGTGAATCCTGCTGTTTCCTCCAGGGGAGCCCAGGGGCTGGGACCCGGCTGCCAGGATGAGGGGACATGACAGTGCAGCAAATCCAGTGTTAGGAAGAGGAGACACAGAGCTGGGGTGTGTGCACACACACAACTGGGCATACGCATGCACACACAGAAGGGTGTGGGGGGATTAGGGAGCCAGGACTCCTGCATTATCTCCCTGGGCTGGTCCTTTAGATGGCAATTCCCAGCCCTGGGACTGTGTAGGGGTCAGGGCTGTGTGGGGGTGCCAGAGACTGTTACCTGGATGGCCACGGGGATGAGCTCCCCGGAGGGCTGCAGGTGCAGCAGGCAGAGGGGCGCGGCGATGTACTGCTGGTAGCCGTTGATTGTGTTGGCCGGGACACACTCCAGGATTTTATAGTCAGCAAGGAAGATGTTCCCCTTCTATAGAATCATAGAATATCAGGGTTGGAAGGGACCTCAGGAGGTCATCTAGTCCAACGCCCTGCTCAAAGCAGGACCAATCCCCAGAAAGATTTTTGCCCCAGATCCCTAAATGTCCCCCTCAAGGATGGAACTCACAACCGTGGGTTTAACAGGTCAAGGCTCAAACCACTGAGCTATCCCTCCCCCCTAAGGCACAGGGAGCACTGTGAGATTTCCCGCAGCAATTCCTCTCCTAGCACTGTGAGCTTCCACGTAGCAGTGCCTCTCCTAGAGTTGTGAGCTTCCCTGTGGCAGTGCCCTCTCCCAGCGCTGTGATCTTCCTCACAGCAGTGCCCTGGGACTAGCCCCTGGAGCCAAGTGGCCAGTGCAAGCACAGCCATTGGCTCTGGAGTAGGGCCCGCTGGACACCTCTGACACATGGTGGCTAGTGCCCAGAGCAATGCTGGGGAGGGAGCCAGAGCGAGATCTCAGACCATGGCCGAGTCCCACGGGGGGCCCCAGCACCCCACTTACCTCCAGTTCATCCTGCAGGCTGGTGCTCTCCCCCAGGGAGGAGGCCACCATGGCCAGCATGATGGGGAAGTTACAGGGGAGCTCCGTGCAGCGCCGGATCACCACCGGGTGGACTCCATTCAGGAACTGGTACCCGAAGAATGTGTCCTCTCGCCAGTGCGCCCTCACATACTCTGGGGGGACACTGGCAGGGCAGCCATGGGATTAACACACCGGGATGGGACAGGACTCAGGGGAGCTGGGTTCGAGTCCTGCCCCAGGTGCCCGGGGCAGCTTACGGTGTCTCTTGGGGCCACAGCCTCCTCCCGCTGGATAACGGGGCTAACAGTCCAGCATGACGAGGGCTCAATCCCAGTGGTGGTCTGGGCAGCACCTGGGACAAGGGGGTCCCTGATCATGGGGGGGGGTCTGGACAGTGCCTGGCACAAGGGGGTCTTGGAGCATGGTTGGGGGGGTGTGGGCAGTGCCTGGCACAAGCAGCATTGGGGTGTCTAGGTGCTTGGGTCACACCCATCCCAATCACCCTGCTCTGTGTGTAGGGGCTCCCATGGGCCTAGGCAAGCGGGGCTCGGAGTGGGGGGGGTCATCCACCTGTGATTGGGGTTTTGTTGAAGAAGAAAACCTTGTTGATGTCGTCCAGCTTCGCCCAGGAGTTGGTGCAGCTCTGGAAACCCTTCAGCCACAGCTCCACCTGCCTGGGGGGACAGAGAGACATGTGAGAGCCTCAGGGGGGCTTGGGAT